TCTTTTTAAATCTTTGAGTATTTTCTATCTAAAGCTTTCAATGAATGCTTATGAGCTATTGTTTATTCAGTCAAAGATGCAATGATAACATTGCGTCCTTAGCAAACATCATTTTCGTTTCGTTGTATGTTAGGTGGCAGTTGAAGTGACGATTGCGCTATATATCCTCCAGCAATTCTATGTGATGCAAATTCGACGGCAATCTTATTTCGAGCACGTATGTGGTGAACATCAATGATATTAGAAATGTTTATCTAGGTGCATCAAGGAAAAAGCAGCCGTCTTGTTGAGTAACAACAGCATGTACAATTTTCTCATATATCATGCTGTGGTATCAATTTTGGTTTATTAATGTTAACATATGCATTGAAGTCGTTTGCATTGTATGATAGTTCTCGTTGCATATCACGATTTAAGGTATCTCTTCCTGGCCGATTTGGTGCAGGCGTTTCTAAATTTGCAAGTGTTTTATTTGCAAGGAGCAAACAATTATTCTCAATAAGAACCAATAATTCATTGTGTAACTCTGGTGTGAAGTTTAATACTGTAGTTTGATGTATTGTATGTGATAGATGCAATGTAAATTTAGTCATTGTATTTGTGCCATACGTTGTTTGATAAGGTTGGTTAAAATATGGTTAGTAAAACTGCAGTACGTCTGGTGTACCGAAGAAGAAAATACAGCATCAGCAACATTAAATCTCAATGTAAATCGCCTTGGAAACTAAATTGAAGAATAAAACAGCCTATTAACAGTTCATTATAAAAAATAGACAAATCATGTTGGGTCACGAACATCAATAATTAGTATATATATATAAAAGTACTGTGATTACTAATGCTGTATAGTACATAGTCTATCTAATGTATTTATGGAAAAACGATCAGGATAACTATATGCTTGCTTATTTTCCTTGGTTCCCATTTCTTAATGCCTTACTTCACATTCTTTATGATGGAAAGTGATCATACGTGATCATATAGTTACGTATAAATGCACTATTTGCTTAATTCGAAGCACTGTGTTAAAGCTTTTTTGTATTATTAATGCTCTTTCCAATAAGTTTTACTCATTGAAGACTAGACATTGAGAATTCTCAAGATGTATAGCCAAGTGCATAACTATTGGATTTTATTGATATATCGAAAAAAATAGAATACGTCAAATAAATTTATTTATAATTATATACCACCCTAAATGATATCATATAATTTCGTCATTTTCATTAACATTTTAACATTAACAATTTCAAAAACTGCCATATCATATATCTTTATATTGATATTTATATATGTATGTACTAAACTGATTTCACAGTATAATATAATTTAATATTGAGGTTGATTTTAACCTTAAATGCATCATTTTCCAAGCTTAATTTGAACGGTTGCTAGCGTTTTTCTGAAAAGAATAACCATTTATTCAAGTAATTTATCAATTAGAAAATTTGTAGTGAATTTCTTTGTACAACTATCATTATCGATATACTAAGAATTCATATTTTTGGAACCACATGGATCATCAATCATATTTTCAACAATAACAAATAAATTTGGATTTATATTTGTATCGGGTATTTTAGAAGAGATAATTGAAATAATATTTATTGGTCAACCTTTCCAAATATATAATGTTACAGAATAAAATCCATAATTGATTTTGTTCCATCAATAACATTGCATTTTATCTATTTCTAATCAGTTTACATGCAAGTTTTATAATTAATGACATATTATAATTAATTTTATATATATATCTCTTATCTCTCTCATTTCTGAATTTGATATAAATCAAATTCTTATTGAAATACCCTGTAGAGATATCAGTCTTGTAGTAGGTTTATTTACAGGTTATTGTTTTTTAGGTAATCATGCTAGGAGACTAAATCTCTCTTTCAACCATACCTGCAGGAGTAGTGAAGAGGAAGATGAAAGTGCCTCCCATCTGCTTTGTTTTTGTTTAGCCAATAAGCGGCGTCATCACTTTACGGGCTTTCGTTTTTGAAGATCTTGGCGAACTGCAACCTCGCCCTCTATATAGCGTTATAAGCTTTGTTAAAGGCCTAAGTGGATACATTCGGATCGTCGGTATAACCTACCTACTTACCAAATATGTATCTATTAAGCTTTTTAAAACTACACTTTACGTTTTTTTCTTTTTCCAAATTTTGTTTATAAAATTCGACTGTACTATACCTTTCATATAATATAATATGCTACCTTAATTCTTTGTTATTATATAATATATAAATTCAGGTTTCTGGAATAAATAATATTAAATTTGGAAAAGTCCTAGTAAAGGATATTTCTTAAAAGCTTAGCCGCGTAACCGTCTATTGACGCTAATGGTCAGTGACCTACTAGTTCCTTTTGCTTTTAATTAGTCAGTTTCAATATAGATTCGTGAGTTTATATATTATTAGTTACTGAATATTTAATATATTATATATGTTAACCAAGTATTGTGGATTAACTCGAAACATTTTAATTATTTTTGTGTCTCAAACTTGTATATAATTGAATTTTAAATAATAGAATAATAAAGTGAGGTATGTTATGCCCGTATTACTTGATAGCAGTACTGTTTGCAATCATATCCGTAAGGCAGCTCAAAAGTCTTGTCGTGTTAGATTTTATTTAAAGTTTGCAATATTTTTATTTTATTGGTTTCTGCATAGTGTGACAAGCTCTAGAAATTTATCGTTTAAATTTATATATTATTTAATGTTTTTTAAAATTTTAGTTTTCTGATTAAATATAATATTCATGAGTTCAACCTTGTTTCACAGTTGGGAGAAAACATGCTAATGTAGTTTTGATTTGAATAATAACTTAGTAACTTATTTTGGTAAAATCAAGAAAAGAGTAAACAAATCTAGCAAATATTTATTTCACATAAAATAAAAAAGTAAATAAATAATACATTTATATGGAAACAAAATTTGAAATAAAATATTGACAGCATAACATTATTATTATTACTTTTATTTTGCACTTTTAATAAATATCTTATTGAGATATTTTTCGTTTTCGCTGCACTCAAATGCCAATTTAAAATTTCTACTAAAAGTTATCTCACTACGTATGCATTTTAATTCAGGAATTCTAAGAATTTTTCTCAAATTTTTACATATGTAAGAATTTTTCATCTTAATATTGTAATATCAAAATCATGTACTACATTATTGAACATAAAAATAACAAATTATGATGAGACAATGTAAGTTGATGCCATAAAGGTAATGCATAATATATGTTTACGCCAGGAAATCTCCAAGACATGAAAGTTGAAATTATTGACGGATAATTGAAGTCATTATTTCCTTTCAGAAGTGTATTTTGAACTTTCTTTTTATAAATTTATGTTAAAATTCATATTCTGAATATGTTATCGTAATCTCTTTGATATTTCCGTCGAGTTTAGTTACTTAAAAATAAAAACTCAATTTCATTTTATATAAAAATCAACTTGGAGATATATATTGCTTTATGTTAAATAGAGGTATAAAAAATCATCCATTTGCAGAGTTAAATTAAGTTTTGAGTTTTATAAAAAGTGCTTAATTAAAATTAGTATTCATTTTTTAAATGCATGTGTGAACTTTAGGGAAATACATACCATTTTTTTGCCATTTTACAACGTATCTTTGTTAGTTTTCGTCACAATTGGAGCAACGTTCCTTCCACTTTTTCGAATTACTTAATACTCAAAGTACCGATTCTTACATAACAATTACCAACAAGAAGACGTAAAAGAGGATCCGTTTGGTTGTTGGTACATGTGTGCAAATTTTAAACCCGAACCCTCTAGTTATATAGCCACAAACCATAGCGGTAAAGTTAGTCAGAATATTGGAATTTATCAAAATCCATGGAACTTGCAATAACGCAATAGTATGTTATTATAAAACAGTAAGTCACATGTGGTTAACTGTTTATAATTAGCTAAACTTATGCTCAATGGTTCAATATATTACAGTTCCTTTAGAAAAATGTTACTGAGCTTGAGATGTCAGTCAAAAGATTTCATTCCTTGAAGCCTTTTTAAATTATTTATATTAAGCAGTAGAGGAGAATTTCGTCGTGGTTCGGAAGCTGAGTTAGTGGTTGGCGTCTATATTTTCGAATCAGTCAAGAATTACATCTACCTTGGCACCGTCGTAACGAAGAACAATGATGCCAACCTGGAGATCAAACGATACACAAAGAAAAAAAATCTATGAATACTAGCGCCAAGGAGTATATGCAAATTTATCATAAATTTTTCCTAATTGTTATAGTTTTCATGCAAAAATTTTTAACTTAAAGACCCAATACATGATACAATAAATGACATAAAGAAATGTGAAAATAGTTGTCTTTACAAATATTGCTTATTAAAAGAAAGTGCCAAGAATATCGCAACCACTTTTAGTTAACGAAAAAAGAATATAGCATATTATTATGAAAAGAGGTGAGTACACTGTGATCTTAAAGATCTATTGTGTTCCTTAGTCGAATTAGAGTGTTTCTTCAGGTTCGATTTCTTTAATGAAAGACAGTATAGTCTTTCCTAGTCTTGAATCCTTATGTTCCATGAAATACATTACTAGGTGTTTCTTCCTCTTGTTCATCAATGTCGGGCACTTCCCTAGCACATGGCATGTGGTTTCTCTCTTTTCTCTGCAGCATCTACAGTCTGAGTTGAATTGGATTCCTAATTTTGTTAGGTTATTATTCAATCTACAAGGCGGGCTTAGTAATTCCGTAATAAGTCTTAGGTACTTTTTTGTTTGTTCCAGGTTGTAAGTCCCTAAAAGCAGTTTAGATTGTGATAGTCTTAGTAGCTTTTCCCAATAAGTTCTCTTTCTTTTTCCTCTGCGCCATTCAGAAGAATGGATAGAGTTCCTTTACCTAGACCGCAGAATATAGCATAAGACTATTGAAAATAAATTCATATTCTTTTATATTTGTGAAATAGAACTCTTTTTTAATTATTGTTTTTGTTAATAAAACCTATAATGATGTGAGATTTATATTATATTTTTCATTTTTCTTGATATTTCTTTTTCTGTGATTGACTTAATTTTCCTAACGTTAGTATATTTACCTTAATCAACCCAACATCCTGTACTGCATACGAGCGCATCAACTGCAGGTTACATTGTTGAAATATCGTAAAATTAATTTTATATTGAATATAAAATTGTAAAGATATACTCCACTATGCATATTTATGCCATATTCAATGTATAGTCATCACAGAATTACCATATTCTGCATTACATATAAAAATATTTGCATATATTTCATATCAGATAATATGAATATTTTGTATTGTAAAATTAATAACGCTTAATTACTATTTAGCAGTCATAATATTTATCATTAGTGGTTGGTGATATTAAAACTACTAATATTCCTACTAATATTAATTTGCATTCAATTCATACACAATTTTATGACCCTTTTGTATTAGCAGGATTTCATAATTCAACACTGCGTTTGGCATGGTTGGAATTTAATTGACGGCAAATAAGTTTCCTGTCAGAGCCGCAATTTCCTGTAAAATCTGACTGCTTCCATAAGCAGACATGCACAGTTTTGCATTAAATTAAAATTTTCCTACTGGGAAAGCACACTTGCACACCTTTTAATGCATGATTCAGGCAAGGAATTACTAGGTAAAATCTACATCAGTTGAATTAATTTTCAGATATTTTTCTTTAAACGATTTTCTACGAGTGGAACTGGGAACTGAAGTCCAATTTAACTACTACTGGTGCTCCTTGTGCTGACTTAGAGAAAATCGTTGAAAATCCTTTTTCTATGATTTCTTTTAAACTCTTTTTCTTATTGCATCGTGTAAACGTTTAAGTGTCAAGTAAAAAGTTAGGAGAAAAAAAAAATGGAAAATGTAGTAAAAAAATTTTCTGTAAGACATTTTTTAAGTGTTGCCATTGCCACTTTTCCGTTTTCCTGCTTGTCTTTGCAGTTGGCGGAAGTAATAGTTTTCAATTTTGCTTATAAACTTTTTATTGTGTTTTGCAGGGATTGCTGTTATACTTATCCGTTTCTCTGAGACAGGAAGTTCAGTAGTTTATTGTTAATGTTTACCATTCCATTTTAATATTATTTTTATTTTCCTCAAATCTCATTCACGGTTTATGTACATTTTTCGCATTGCACACAAGGAAATTTACATGCAAATCTGTTCACACTGCATGGAACCAAGTGCAGGGAAGAGTTCTCATCGGAGATATTGCTTTATCACTGTCAGTGCTTTAATAGAGTTGCTTCCACTGACATAAAAATAATATCTGAAATTTTAATTTTGTTATAAATAAAATTCATGTGGAAAACGAATAGTTTCTGGTTGAACTACTCCTAAGTTTTCTTTTACGGTGTGAACTATAAACTTTTCTATTAAGAAAATTTTATTTTCTTTTTTATGATTTCATAAATTATCTTTACCATTTGTTAGTTGTTATTTTATGTATATTTATATAACAAACCAAAATGTTTTCAAACAAATCAAATTTACTTTTGTTTGTTTGTTTGGAATTCGATGATTGATGTTCGCATTTTCATAAATTAATTGTTATAAGTACTTCACTTATAATATATACACATATTATATTAATAATGATAACAATAAATCACGTGAAAAATTCATGTCAGTAATAAGATTGATTTCCCCAAAACTTATAAATTGAACATATGAGTAAATGCATTTCATAATTTGGTCTGTATAATTTAGAAAAACTAACAAAATATATCTATCATTTGATTTATTATGTTTATCTTAGAAGTAAGAGTATTAATGCAATAAATTGTATTAAAATATCTAATTATAAAAATTATGTAAAGAAAATATTTTCAAATTAAATTTAATTCAATTTAATTTTTTTTATTAATTTAAAATAAAAGAATGGACAAAATATATTCTTCTACTTTATGTTTTGCATTAGTGATCGTAGAGTAACATAGGTATAACTTCTTGGAAATAATGTTCCAAATAAGTATCTATACATAAGAAAAAATAATCTGCAATGAATAATGTAAAAATATGCAGTGAATAATGTTTCTACAAAAAGTATAGTACTGACGCTATTTTTATACTTTTTATAAGAGAGATCCAACCTTATTAAAGAGAGATCCAATGAGATTTAGTGAAAACCAAATTGACTTTAGTCGTAGCTATTTTTCTATATAAGGAAGGAAAATTATGTTTTATCTTATGTGTCGGCACCTATATTTGGCCAGTAGAAGTTTTAATATCTTTTGGACCTTTTAGTACCTTTTCTCACCGATCTCACCGAAAAAGTTATCTTCCTTTAAAGTAAAGGATATAGACAAGTTTATTTATTTGTCAGGTTACTTAACTTCACACTTTACATTTATTTACATGGGAGAGAAGTGCTTGATCTCTTTGGCGTTGTATATGCTCTAAAGGCAATCTGTTTGATTGTGGCTTTGGTCTTTATGCCAATTTTATTTTTATTTATTTTAAGAAAATGCTTTAAGGGAAAAATCCTTAATTCTTAAAACTAACTTAAAAAGTGACAAAAAAAAAGATAAAAAATATATACACAATAAATAACAATTTACAAATTATTAAATAATAAAAAGAAAAATATTATATATGAAAAGACAATAAAAAAATTAAAATAAAAATAAAACTTTTAGTATTATAAGTACTCAAATAGGCTTTAATATGCAAGGCCCTACTGCAACCCCACCATTTTTTAAATTTATTTTAAAGTTTTGAGTTTAAAAAAATTTTTACTATTTTATATTTTCTTTCATGGATAATTTAACAAAGCTAATATAATACGATATCAAAAGATATAAATAGGTAAAATAGATAAAGATATATAAATATATACATATATATATATAGAAGTAGAATATAGATGGATGTGAAGATAAAAAGACAATATGGTTTGACTATATCCCAAATGAAATTTTATCGAAAACGAATTTATACTTTTCAATCAAGAGGTTTTTTCGAACAGTAGTGAATTACTACAACAAAAATTTTATTTTTTATATTATTTTAATTAATTGAATTTTTGTCTGACCATGCAACTGTTTCGAGTATTGCCAAATACCCATTATTTGTGGTCTTGGAAATAATTCTTGTATTTAATTATTCTTGTATTATTATTATATAATTATTATTAATTATTTTTTTGAGACTGCAAGTACCAGGAATTGAATATATGTCTTCATTATTGAATATTATGTATGCACATATGTTATTTTAAATAAAATAAAGAATTGGAGAATGCATACTACTGAAAAATTAAATATATAAATAGAAAGTAATTGATTTAAAATAGAACTCGTTGTGTGCATGATATAGCAGCTATAGTAAATCTAAAGCCATATACGTTTTCTATAAAAATTTAAGATAATGTAATAAATTTTCAAAATTTGATTTTTATTTGATTTACTCGGTGCATATTTTAAACTCCAGCTGCAGTGCTTTTCAAGCGAAATACATTTTTAGCATAATTTTTCAAAAAGAAACAAAACTGCTTACTACT